TCCGAACCCACACCTTTTAGGAAGATTTTATTCTATTGCTCCATTTCCTGTACCTTTTTATTGCTTTCATTACTGAATACATTACATAGAAGTTAATGTTATACGCATTTATCGATTAATCGGATTTCTTGTCGATGCCCCTAATAAACGATTAATTGGATTATTACTCTTTTACTTTTTACGAATTAATTGGAAGATAATCAAATATCCTCAATTCTATTTTAGTTAATCATATAATTTTTCATTAAATATATAAGAATTTTGTTATATTTATAAAAACATTGATATTCCATGTAAATTTCATGAGGATAAAAAGTATGAATGAATTTCCTTATATAATATTCATACAAAATATTAGTGTATTCATGCAAATTTCGTGATTATGAAAAAACTATAAACATGCTTTCGAAACTGAAAATAANAAAAAGAATTTTTTGAAAATTTTTGTAATTCATATTTAAATATTTCTTAATCTTTGAAAATTATCTTATACTGTCGACATTATCGATCAATGTTTTTATATATTAATCATTCAATTTTTATTATTCAAATTAAACTAGTAGAACCTGAATAAAAATATTTTTAAAAATAACCTATTTTTTCCGATAATGTCATTCAATAATATATTAATGATTTTCGTTGATCATAATTTTTATTCAGGATTATGCAAAGAAGCCTCCTTCTATCTCTGATTTATGAAAATGTAAATTAATAAAAAAAAAATATGTACTTTAACATTTAATTTTCATAAAACTCTCATAAAAAATATTATAAAATATATTTTATATAATATTTTTCAATTTAAAATAACTATAAATGTACAGTACGGTACATGAGATAGTTTTAAACGCTTGAATACATTAGAGAGTATCAATGGAGACAATAATTTTAATAAAAAGAAAATTAATAATTTTATAACAATTTAATGAAAAAAAGGGGGAGGAAGATGTGAAACATTTTAACGAAATAAAATTAACGTTTTTAATTTCAATATACTTAAAATAATTCGTGGAATTTTTAGAAGAGAAATTACAGAATCCATAAATCTTAACTTCAATAATGAGAATGAGGGGTGAATAATCTTTAATAGAAAAAAAAAATTTTACTATCGAGACTAATGGTATGAGATTGCTTCAGCTAGGTTTCATTTCTTCCTTAATTGCATTTCTGTGTCCAGCGAATTGAGAGAAGTTTTCTACACTAAACGAAGAAATAAGTTGGGGAAACCAAACCATTACTACATTCTTCATCAATCGTATGATTATATATTTTAAATTTTGTTCGTATGAACTATCTACTTGATAACCTTTCTTGTAAATTCATATTCTTGGTAAATCTCCATCGCGACACGAGTTATTGAATATTATTCTACTAGCCTAAATTCTTGACAAGGTTATGAAATAATATTAACATGCAGGAAATGAATTAATTAAATATATTTATTATTAGTATTTTTTACTGTTTAATATAGAGAAAGGAACCTAACGTATAGGAAATTATGGTCTATAAATTTAACTTCTGATAAAATATTGTAGAAATAATTGTAAGTAGGACACATTTTATATTTCATTTTTTTAAATTTATAATTAATTCGACGTTAAATTTTTAAATTGCAATTTTCTTTTTTTTTAATATATTTCAACGTTTATTGGTAACCTATTGATAGTTGGATGATGGTTTATAGATTGTTTAATTTGTTGATAAATTTTGTTAATAAAAAAATTTTATTTTATTTATTGATAAAAGATAAGTAATTTTATAAATATTGGCATTTGTGTCACTTCTAAAATGATTTTTAAATTTTTTTAACGCATCAACCTTTAAGCTGACAACCGCTCGTAAGATTAGTTGCAGTTAATCATAATTAAATTCATAAATGATGCTAACATCAATTTGCTGTTATTTGAAAATTATGAATTAAAAAAAATGCTGATAATTTTAGTAATTATTTAAAGCGACGATTTTTTTGTATCCGCAATTTATCCGCTTGAATTAATCTTAATAATACATCTTTACGTATAAACAATATTTTTATTTATTTAACTATATTTAAAGGTTTACAATTTATTTTATAATTTTAATATGCTTATAAAAGCAATCAGAATTCTCCAAAATTCAAAAATTAATTAAATTTTTTTTTATAAACATTAACATTAGCACATGATCTGATTAACTGATAGTTCAAGTTATATAAAAATAAATACTTTTGACAGTTGATTTTAGAGCTGGGCTTAAACTTTTCGTGGTTCTGAACAATAATAAATAAGAGGCCCTTTCCTGGTTATGAAATAATAGCGTACTTAGTAATATGAGGCCTTTAACTTTAGGCTACCAGCGGCCGAGTGGATAAAGCATTAAACAGTCGCGGGTTCAAGCCTGACAAACAGAGGGAGTTTTCCGAGTTATCTTCACGTGTCTAACATTTAAATAGGGACGAGTTTCTCATAGGAAGTCGTACCGGGAGATACCCCCATTGGCAGATCGCTCAAGTGTTGCATTGCCTTATTCCATCTATCCTATTCTATCCTTTGCTTAACTTATGTATAAATTCGGCTCTGGTTGATTCCTTTTATAAACCTATCATATTATTTTATTACCCGAATCACTTTATCTAATAAAGTATAGTAGGGATTTTGAATTCTGGAAATAGGATAACGGGCATGAATTTTAGGGATCGAAAGATGAGCATAAATGGTCAGCTTCGAATTCCAAAACTGGAAAGATGAGCACAAATGCAGAGGCTTGAAGATGAGTAGGAATAAAGAACTTCGAATGATGAGCATGAATACAGGAGCTTAAATTCTAGAGTTAGAAACATGAGATTGAATGGAGAGTTTCGAATTTTAGAAATGGGAAAAATGAGCATGAATGCATGTATTGTGCACATTAACCTCATTGTATATAATGTATATAATGTGCTTTAAATCAGTATTGGGTGTGACTGAATGTGTGATGGATAAAGTTCCTTCGAAATTTTCACTCAAAAGTTATTATATAGAATATGATTAGATTAAATCCATTATCATAATGGTTTATTGTCACCAAATTTTTTTTGATTTCAATAAAAATCATGGAAGTTTATGGCACACAATTAATAAGGAAAATACATAATTATATGGTGCCCTGTAACTAAGCATTTTACTGTTGTTCTTTTACACAGGCTAGTAGTAAAAAAATTTTTCAAAAAAGTACATAAATGTTTTGATATTTTTGAATTTTTAATTAACTTTGCTGCAAAAATATATTTTTTAATATATACTTTTGTTTAAATTGATAAAGTTATGCATCCTGTATTATGAATACGTGAGTCAGAAATCCTAGTCAATATTATTATGTATATATTGTACTTTGATCAATATCGAAGGTTAAATTGACCGAAATTATTAAAATTCTCATATATATATAATATATATTTAATGATTAGGCTATTATCATTAATTTAAATGCTATTTAATATTTAAATTTTAATAGATTTTATAACTCTCACAAATCACTTTAAATTATTTCGATGCGTTTAATAATAAAGGAAATTCGTATGAAACTATCGAAAAATTATTATTTTTTATATGAAATTTTATTTAANAAAAGGCAGCTAAGACCTTAGGAATCGTTGTTGGTGTCTAACGCCCATAAAAGCATAATGACTTTTATTTAAAATGCATTTGAAAGTATGCTATTTATTTTTAAAAAATATCCACAAAAGGCATGATGATAAATATTAAAATTGCATTTAAAGATAATATTTAATAAAAATTCATTCAAAAACACGCTTTTTACTTAAAATGAATTCAAAGATATCATGCTATATAATTTTTAAAATGTCCACGAAAACATGATATTAATTTAAAAATGCCCACAAAACCATGATGAAGATGACTAAAAATACTTATAAATGTACTCTGATGATGATTAAAAATGCTTATAAATGTACGCTGATGATGAGGAAATGCCCACAAAATCATGATCAGAGTTAATGTATATTTAAAAATGCGCTCGAAGACATACGATATTTACTAAAAGAGCATAAAGGTATGATAATATGTGCTTAAAATGCATAATAATATTTGTTAAAAGTTTCAATAGTAGTCAAATTTTATAATAATCATTGTTTTATAAACGACTCTATTATAAATGATGAACTTGCATCCGTTCTCTACGGATCAATACTGTTTATAAAAGATGCTGATCGAATTCAGACTTTATGTTCTTATCAAATATAAGAAGTAGTAAAACTTTCAATTGCTACTTATCCTATAATCATCATTCAAATCATTTATCCGTTTGTTTGCAGTTATTCTTAATGATAATTTTCATGAATTCTTTCGATCGATGTCGAACGTTATACAATGATTAACAATAATCTTATGATTTTATTTATTAAAAGAGATCAATAATAAATCCATTCGTTTGTCGACAATATTCGGAACAAATATCTGATCGAGTTCAACCTTTGTATGAGGACAATAAAGATCTAACAAGCTATTCAGCTCATATTAGTATCGATACAGCACCGACTTAATCCGTTCTTTTACCTTCTCTCCGAACTCAAAAAGCTTTATAAAAGACTGAAAATTGAAGTCATATTTTATCTAAAATTTAATAATATAAAAATAATTTTAGTTATATAAAAATAAATACTTTTGACAGTTGATTTTAGAGCTGGGCTTAAACTTTTCGTGGTTCTAAACAATAATAAATAAGAGGCCCTTCCCTGGTTATGAAATAATAGCGTACTTAGTAATATGAGGCCTTTAACTATAGGCTACCAGCGGCCGAGTGGATAAAGCATTAAACAGTCGCGGGTTCAAGCCTGACAAACAGAGGGAGTTTTCCGAGTTATCTTCACGTGTCTAACATTTAAATAGGGACGAGTTTCTCATAGGAAGTCGTACCGGGAGATACCCCCATTGGCAGATCGCTCAAGTGTTGCATTGCCTTATTCCATCTATCCTATTCTATCCTTTGCTTNTTAAATAAAAGAATTGTTTATCTGTTTGCAGGCTTCCAAGATCGTTTACTGTCTATAACGTTGTCTTCGAATAGAATCTTCAATTGAACATCACTGCCTCCAATCTACAAATGGCTACTTCATCGACCATAAATTTGTGACTATTGCTCAAAATTTTTTCTTCATTCACTTGTAAAATATGGAATATCCACTGGTTGTCATGAGTTCGGATCCCGATTTGGGAACAATATATTTAGACGTAACCGAAAATGGTACAAGTTGGAATCAAACCATCGAAGATGCTGATCTTAAGGAAGATTTATCGCCTTTTCAACTAGCAACTTTACTTGTTATGGGAAGTGTTCTTGTTTTCATCATAGTAATGACAATTGGTGGAAACTTTTTAGTATTAATGGCCGTTATATTTAATCCATCGTTAAGAAGTGCTACAAACTGTTTTATCGTCAATTTAGCACTCGCTGATCTTTTATTGGGGATAAGTATTTTGCCATTTTCGGCTACTTTAGAACTACTTGGGAAAAAATGGCTTTTCGGTCAAGTTTTCTGCAATATCTGGGCAGCTACTGATGTCCTCTGCTGTACAGCATCTATTAATAGTCTTTGTGTCATCAGTGTCGATCGTTATATCGGGGTCACTAGACCACTCACCTATTCTTCATTAGTTACTCACGGAAAGGCAATAGTAGCATGTATCCTCGTTTGGGTGTTATCCATCGCCATTTCTGTAGGTCCATTGCTAGGATGGAAAGAACCACCCCCAAAAGATCCATTTGTCTGTGAAGTTAATAAACAAATGGGTTATGTCCTGTTTTCTGTATCATTTTCGTTCTACATTCCAACGTTAATAATACTTGTTGTCTATTATAAAATATATAAGGCAGCTGCAAAACAAACTAAATTTTTAGAAACAGGAGTTAAAGTAGTTAAAACTTCCGGAGCTGCGGATACCAAAGAGCTGACTCTGAGAGTTCATGGAGGAACGCACCATGTCGTGTCTTCTAATTCTCACAATAAGAAAGAGAAATATGAGACCAACACGGTGAAGATTCCGGTACTCGGTTTACAGGGAAGATTAGCTAAGTTTAGAAGACAGAAAAAGGCAGCTAAGACCTTAGGAATCGTTGTTGGTGTCTTCATTATATGTTGGTTTCCATTCTTTTTTCTTCTGCCATTCAGTAAGTATACGTTTTAAAATATACATTAAATATTTCACAATCATGTTATATATACTTTACAACCCCGATTTAGCGTTTTTGTATTTTACATTTTCAAATTTATTTTATTTTTCTATGATACTTAATTCGCTTATAATGATACTCTAACTTTTACTTCATGTCTAAATTCTTTTCTGTAATACTTTATATCATTGGCTGCTCATGGAGTAGTAAATAAAGAGTAACCTACGATCTACATTTATAGTCTATAATTCTATAAGATTATAAGCGTGATATATCTCAGTTATATTACGAACTAACTAGATTATGTATTAGAAGTCTATTCTATAATTCCTTCATTTAACGCTCTGTAACAGCAAAAACGTTAAATAGAGGTTATACTATATTTTTTAATTTTAAAATCAAAAATACAAGATATGTTTAAATAAGAAATTAAATTTTTTTAAACACTTTTTAAAATCCGTAATAAATCTTACTTCTATTCTTTATTTAATTTAATTCTTTTCAAATAGAGCTAATTTATTTATTTATTTTTTTAAAATAAAAGTGGAACAAGGTCTCATTTTTGAGGATATCATTGCATTAAATCTGTTTTCCATTGTAACTCAATTTTGTTGCAAGTCTTCATTATTTTCCAATAAAGTTGATTACTTCTTGTATCAAATAAAAGTTAGCCACTACTAAAAACATATATAAAAAAAAAATGAGCTTAGATGATGATAAACTCATTCAAGAAAATATAACTTATCTAGAATTTGCTTCTTAGAAGAAAATAAAACAAAAATTGAATACAATTTTTTGAATAATTTTTTGCTTATAAAAATGATTTATAAATTAATTATTTTTATTTTTTTTAATTAAGAAATCAAAGTTGTTTTATATAAAATCATCAGCAATAAAGAGTCTGCTTTATAGAAGACAGCAATAAAATGCTCTTTTGTAAAGCAGAAAGTTTTATAAGAGAGCATTTTATGAGAGTTGTAACCAAATTTAGATTTAAAATAAAGTAAAATTTTCCTTTTAATTATTGGAGAGTAAACAAATTAACAAATTGGAATATTCCCTCGAGGGATAGAATATATCTATCACTTAGTGTGCTTTCTTTTTTTTATATTATTATTATTATTCTTCGAAAAAAGACAAAATATCTTACATTTAGCAATGTCTTATTTAAAAGATTGAAGTTATTCAGATGACAAAAACATCTGGTGCTGGCAACAATGAAACGAAATGAAGTTTTAGAGGAATGGAAATAAAAGAATAAATATTTAAGAAATAAATTCTATATCAAAAATATTTCGTATTAAAACGAATATATTGTTAATGAGTAAAAATTTATAATTTTTCTCATAAGTTGCTACTACAATATTATTTTTCTAAGAAATTAAATTAACATTAAAAAATCTTAACAATTCTATAACAATTTTACAAATACTGATATGCTAAGATGGTTTTAATATTATTAACAATGTAAAAATAATACTTTTAAAATTCGAATTGATGTATTTTAAATGTATTTTTAATTTTATTAAAAATTAGAAAAATGTATATATATATAATTATTTATTTATTTATTTTGAATCTTTTTATGAGATTAAGATCAAATTCTAACTTTTGTCCCTGGCCCACATTTTAAATATCTTATATCCCTTCTATTTACCCGTATAAGGGTCATAAAAATTTTGTGTGCAATCTCCAATTTACGCTGTCTTACAAAACTCTTAATCGTCGTCTTCGTATTGTCTAGGAAAAAGGACTCTTTTCTGTTATGGTAAACAGAAATCGAAATGCTTCAAGGACTTTATGACGCTTGGTTCCTTTCAGTTTTAATGGGCTGTTTGTTGCAATGTGAAATAATATATTGACCAACAGTTACGATACAATTTTCTTAAATTGTTTTTAGGTTTTTTTTCCTTTGTTTTTATTTGGTGATTAAAATAATTGTTGTTGTTTCTTCCACTTTACAAAACTGTTCAGGTTTATTTACTCACTCTTTCCATATATAAAGTCTTTGCTGCGAATTCTGCAACAGATTTACTAGAAAAATATTCTGTTTTAACAATTAGAGAACTCATTTGAAACTTTTTAAATTCCATATGAAGAAATTAAAGGTTTGAATACTTTCATTCACTTTTTTTTGTTTGTTTTTATCTAAAAAATGACTTTATTTAAATATAATTTTAATTGCTTTTCTTATAACTGTTTATATTATTCAATTAACTCTACTAATTGGACAGAACTTATTTCTAAATATTTTCTAAATAACTACTTTATATTGCATTATTTGTCTGATTTTCTATCCTAAATAAATTTTAACTTGGAATTTATAAGTTATTCTTTTAGTTTTTAAATGCTTCAAATATAGACAAATCTGTTTCTGTTTGTTTTAATTCTTCTAGATATAAATCCAAAAAATTTACATATAACATAATTCAAAACTTATTTAAATATACTGTATTTCATATGATTTACAACTTATTTTATGTCACAAAATTAAATGTATTAACAAAAATAGATCTTTTTTAACTTTTTATATTTATAAATATTCAAGAATTTTGAATGTATTTCAATGAAATTCGGTTTATATATTGAAGTTTACCAGTATAGTTACCAGTACAAGTTAATAGTAACATTATGACAAGTTAATTTATGTTATTGAGCCAAAAAATATTGATAGAAGATTAAGTTTTTAAATTTATTTAGTAAATAGTAATAAAAGATTTAAAATAAAATAAGTTAGTGTCAATAGTTTTATTGCATGTCAAAATTTCAGGGGAAAAACATTTTAATTCGTCATTTTATTTTATTTTTTTATTACAAGAGACAATTTACGGTTAATTTTTTTGTGTAAAATTTACATAATGTTTTATGTAATTTAAAAATTATAAACTTAACCAGCAATTTTCTAAGTGTTTCTTAGATATTTCAGAAGACAAAGATAAATTTTAAAGCAAAATTTCTATAAAAACTAATTAATTTTGATTTTTTTTAGAGTTAACTCCAGTTACAAAGGCATGCGATGTTAACAACCTTCTAAACTATTGTATAGCGTTTTCAAGTGGAGGAAAAAAAAAGTGAATTACCTATAGTTAAAAACAAGAGTAGTTTAGCAATGCAGAAATTCGTTTCCATTATGATCACGCGCAGTAAAGTCTAGAAACGATGTATCAAAGCTTCGATACAATCTTTCCACCATGCCATAATCATCAATCATTCTACCATGTTTTTTCTCTCCTTTACATTGACAAAATCGAAGAGTTGTTGAGAGAGAGAGAGAGAAAAATAAAAAATTATTTCAGCCAAGCTCATCATTGCCAACTCTTAAGTCGCTTGTTTAACATATTCTCACTTGTTCAAAGAGTAAATCTCTTTATAGCAAACGTTGCGGTCAGTTGGTGCCAATAGAGCACCGAATTAACTTTCCTGAATTTTTTTTTTTAAATAAATTTGATGATGAGGAACAATTCTTTTTTCAATTAACTTAGTCAGTCATAGTTTGGTAAACTTAAACGGCGCCGTCTTGACTCTCATTTAAGCGTGGGTGGAAGTTATATAAAGAAGATCTAAAGTAATGGATGATACACAAAAGTAAATTGTGACATTTATCGACAGGTAAAAGTTATATATTTAGTTGATTAAAGAATTTTTTTTTTGGCAAGGAAATTTAAAAGACAAAAGTAAATTTTGTAAATATTGAAGAATATAATCGTTTTAAAAAGTTTTCTAGAGTATTTTGCATACAATATAGACTTGACTAAATAAAAGATTTATTTACTTTAACTAGTTTTCTTTGGTAACAAGTTGTGTCTAGTGATTAATAACAAAGTAATATGTCAGCATTTCGATCAATTGAGTTACTTATCGATTTTTACAAGTACTTGTATAAGTGGAAAAATCAATATCTGTTACAAGTAAATATTTTGAATTTCTTTCAAAGTTGATACACTGTTTGTATCCTGTGTGGAGTGCTTTAATAACTCGATACGTTTTAGTCTTTATTAACAATTATTTATATATAAATTTAGTCTAATTTTAAACAACACTTAAACATGTTTTTAATGTTTAAATTGTTTTTGTTAAATAACAAAAGACTAAATCATATTCGACTTTTCTTGATCATTTTCTTTTGTAGATGCATAATGTTAATGTTATAATTTCTTGATTAAATAAAATATTATACATAAACATGGAGCACATATTTGACTCAATATATTAAAAAATATATTTAAAATGATTCATAAATTTAATACTTAAATGGTAAACTTCTGTTGAAGTTACTTCAGAGTTGTTACAAAATCTGATAATTGAAGTATTAAAAGTTATCTGATGAAGTTTTAACTGATGTTTTAAGGATTTTATTATTTGATCATTTAACATAATTTTTTGAATATTTATTTTTGATCTTGTCAGGACTTTGTTGTTAATATCTCTCAGATTTTCATCAGCTTTTGTGGATAAATATGTGTTAATATTTATCCACTATTTATAAACTTTTTCTTATAAGTTTTCTGAAGAATTATTATTGTTAGTCTTGTATGCCATATAATAAAAACGTTTATATAAAGAGAGTTAAACAGATTAAAATTGAAACATTATTGGAAATAACATCTATGATATGTAATTTTGACATTAATATTCAAAATATTATATAATATCTTCTTTAATTTTTAAAAATCCAACATAGCTCATACTGATTGTTACACTTACTAAGAACATCACCTGAACTATACTACTGTATTTTATCTGTATTGTAGAAGTATAGTTGCATTTTTGCAATTTATTTCTTGTTTTTTTTCATAATGGAAATGTATTTTAATAATTTTTATAAAAAAATTTAATAGGCGAAAAATACAACAAATTAAAAATTTAATGATTATAATTTGTTAGAAACTTAATAAAAAAATACTCAACATAAAATATGTATGCTTAATTTTCATTATCGTGCTAACGTTTTTTATCTTTGAGTTTATATTTTAATTTAAATGCATGTTTTTGACTTTGTTATAAATACTTAATATAAAATAATTTGTTAAATGATACTCAACACCCTTTTTATAAGTTAGAAAGCTTATATTTTAATAGATATAACCGTCTACACCTTCACAGGATGAAAAAAAAAATTGTTTTTTTTTCATCTTATAAATTTAAATCCGTGTTTAGAAATTCATAAAAAAGGATTTAAATTACAAATCTTGTTGAAAAACCCCATGTAGATTTTATAACTCCATATTTTAAAGGCGAATTTAATAGTTGTATATTTTTATGGGACCCTTTCTTGTTGGTATAAGATAATAGAATCTATATAAAAATATATAGATAAATATTTATAAAATTGAAATTTTTATATTTAATTCGAAAAATTCTAATCTAAGCATTTTATTCGAACAAAATCAATTTATAGTTGCTGCTTTCTTCTAACAGAAAACAAAAGAGAAAAAACAGAAAACGGATATCAACATTAATTGATTTGTTCTTGCGGTATCTATGAGTAACCGCTGTGTCTTTTCAAGTGCTCAGCTCACGTCTAGAGAACTTTCCCGATTTCAAGATCACATATATATAGGTCAATAAATATATAAAAGCTCAAATCTAACATCTGTAATTAAAAAAGAAAAAATGAATTTTTTTTGTATTATTCTATATCTAATTACATATAAAATCATTAACTTTTTAGTTAAAAAACGGTATGATTTGTATAGTAAAAAACTTTAATAATTTATTATATATTTTGGAAATCAAATAAGAAGCTATAAAGATAAAGTTGAGTTGAGTTAAACACTTTTTACTTGGCCGAACACATAGCTGTGGGTTAGAGAACGTTAGCCTTGACACGATGCAGTTTCTCTCCGGTTAGTAGAGAAAATTTCATTTTTGTTCACAAAATTCCAATTTCTGAAGCGTCCAATAACTCGCTCCATAGATCCACTGCATCACTCTTTAAGTAGACTAAAGTTGAAAGGAAAAATGGACGATTTCAACAACCATAATAAATCTGCACATATCACATTATATATCTATACATATTTTTTTTTTCAAAATGACTTTTAAAGAATTATTTTTTAATACGTTATAATTATATTAAAATATACTTTATTGTTAATTAAATTAAAATTGTTATTGATAGTTCTATATTTTAGCATTAAAATGCTTATTTTTCTAATAATTATTATGAGAAAATAATATTTAAAAATTGATGTCTGTTATGATTGTAATTGAATATTTATTAATGAAATTTTTAAAAATATTTTTGAATTTTTATAGCTTTTATTTGTGTTAAGAGTTGAAATTATTATAATTATTTTTTTTATTAATAATCAATTTGAAATTACAGTAACTTCGTGTAATATTAACAATTGAAATGAATTGAATAAAAAAAAAGCTATGCAAATTTAGGAATTTGAAAAATCGATGTAATTAAAAAACCGTTAGATTTGTAGCTTTGTTTTTTTTAATTATGCTTAATGTATAAAAGAAATAAAAGACGAAGGAATTTTCCTAGTTACAATTGCTATTTTGTAAATTTAAAAAGTGTTTTTACTTGTCAGACATTTATAAAATTACAATATAAACATCAGAGTATAATCTGTTAACTTTAAGTCATTGATAAAAGAAATTCTAGTGCTATAAGAATATAAATTTACTGTAAAAAATCAAGTAATATTTAATTTACTTTCATATTTCTCTTTTCAGGTACTCTTTGCATAAAGTGTAACATCCCCGATTTACTATTCGATGTATTTTTCTGGACAGGTTACTTCAACAGCTGTTTGAATCCCATTATCTACGCTTGTTCAAGTAGGGATTTCAAACGAGCCTTCCGTCACGTCCTTCGCTGTAAAGGTCTAACCATACACCGAGGTAGTCGAAGAGATAGCAGATCAATAAGTTCGAAAACTATACATTTTACATTCCGTAGTACCAGAAGGGTGCCATTAGGTAAAGCCAAAAGGGAACAAGGTACATCCTCCGATAACGAAACCGGTAGTAAGATGTCCAGTCGTATGTCGTCCTTAGAAGAAAGAGACTGCCCTCCAGGTACACCTCCACAACTAAATGGATGCGATATCATTGATTCGGGCAATAGGGAAGCTTTACTGCCAGATGAGCAATAACTATATACATATGACACTAGTTTGCACTGCTCTTTATTAGCTTCCAAGAGTAATATTGCGCATACGCGCAAATCTATTGCCCGTAGTTAGTACACATACACGCACTTGCCAAAGATTAGAAGGGCGCGCGTTTTAAGAATGTGGTTTTTAGTGATATAAAAGCTTCGCACGTTCTTCCACACATGTGTTAGAAAAAAAATAGCACTAAAATAAAGAATATTAGTAATGTATGAGGCTGTCCTTGCCAAAAAGTGTGGCATCTATTTTTGTAAAATGCTCAGTGATTAGAGAATGTAACATAAGCTAATGTTACATCTTTCTAATCTTTCACCGAAAAGGCAATACAGGGAGGTGTCTTCATCCTCTGGACATAAATTTTGTCTGATTGTTGACACATTTAGAGGTTCTATGTTGTTGTTGTTGCTGAACATAGTTTATCGCACCCGATCATCCTAAAAATCCTTTATCCTTACCGATAATTCGGTGTCAATAGGGTGAAAAAATTGACGCACTTTCGAGTTATCCAATATTTAAATCGCGTTTTTGTTTCGAATTTAAGACGGAAAAATGTTTCCTCTAGCGTAAAATAAGGATCATTTGCAAATAATATTTATCTGGTTGCACTGTACCATTTCATTGTCCGTATGTTTTGTCTCGAAAGGAAGTAAACTCAATTAATTCCTAATTCTGTCATAAAAATAAATAAGTAACTATAGTAGTCATCCCTCCTAACTTGTACGTAAAACGTCCAATTTGATTTTCTTTCAGTATTCCAAGCTGATAGTTGACAAATTTGAATGTTAATGAATTAAAAAATAATAATAATTAATAATAAAAAAAGCTTGGTACAACGGAAAAATGTAAATTTTCTTGAAATAATTAAAGAGATATATTCGTTTTTTTCTTTTTCTGGTGTCTGTTTAAATTATTTTAAAGGTTAAAATATATTAAATATAATATAACTGTTAATCTTAATAAGTAAATATTTAATCAGGCTTCATTCTTTTAGTAATTATTTTATATTTAGAGAATAAGATGGATTAAGTTCATATTTAATCGATTTTTTTATAAAATATAAATCAAAATAAGATCAAATTTCTAATCTGGAAGTTAACTTATTTGTTTTAATAACGACTATATAATTAAATAAAAATCATGGTCAAAATTTTAAATTTTTACCTTTACTATCATTTAATTTCACACGAATTTAATAAGCGAAATTTTTTAATAAATTTGATTTAAGTTTTAATTTTTAATTAAATTATATATTTTACCAGTTACTCGTTTTTTTATTCGTTATAAAAGATAAAATGTTAATCAATTTTGATACTTTTCTGATATTTATACAATGTTATAAATGTTATTTGTATAATCTTGTATGGAAAAAACATATATGTATGTATATGTTGTATATGTATACATATATAACATTATATATATGTTGAATGTAAACTAAAGCTTACAAAAAAAAACAAATCAAAACCAAGTGAACTTGTCTAAAGGAATCTAACATGAATATTGCATGTGAGAATAGCATGTGTTTAGAGTCTAGAATACGTTTGTGCATGATTTTCTGTTTCAAGGACATTAACGGTACTTGCAACATATTTTTAATTTTATTTTACTTTTTAGTTACTTAAATTTATTATTATTATTTTTTTTTTAAATCAAACTTAACTAATATTGAAGAAGTAAATTTTTAATGAGATTTTACTAAAATCTGAATCATATCATAAGATTTTATTCATTGCCAAATCGAATATATATATTTAAAANATATTCATTAAGTAATTTAAATAGTGAATAAACTTCATTATATAAACTAAGTAATATAAGCTTTTAGATCATAATAAACTGAGAAAAGCGTAGGATTAATAACTGAGTTGCTAATGGTTATATATAATGTTTATTTTTTGTAATTAAATTTAAATCATGAATTTTTAAAATATTTATATAAATGTTAAAATAAAAATTTTTTCGTTTATGTATTTATTTATTTTATTGATCTTCATATAAAATTATTACAATTTACAGATAAACATAATGTAAAATAAATTAATATTCTTATAAATAATAATATTTTTTTCATTGATTAGAATGATTATTATTAGAAATTTTTCTTATAAAATTCTAAAAATGCTACAGAACTATTTAATAAATTTATTATATTATATCTAAATATCCGGTCAAAATTTTAATAATTTAACTATTGATTATATTTAGCAAGACACAAAATTCTCCTCCTGCTATTTTCGGATTTACATATACTTTTATACAAATTTAGCATGTAATTTGACATTAAATATAATCCAAATTTTTATTTAATATTTAGAATATTTATTAAATAATCGTACTTAATTACACGATAAGATATCTCTCATAAAGACGTTTATAAAATTATTTATCTACTTAAAATTTTATTGAAAATATCATTAAACTCATAATAATTATATTAATTAGAATTAAAGGTTTTGTAGATATTTTTAGGAAGAAATATAATAAATATTCTATTGAAAATTTAGTGTAATAGTTTTGTTACATCAGCAATAAAATCATCTTTTCCGGCGAAAAGCGTTAATTGTAATCCGTAATCACTATCAAGTAGATATTCTTGACAATAATGTCCATTGTTTGTTTACTTTGACCTTGACCGTGAAGAGCTCACTTAAATATGATATCCCCTTTAATTGCAACAATCTACTATCTATACTTATCACCAGGAGTCTATTAGTGGAATACGATCGTTCAAAACAAACTTTGATATATTCTTTTCAACCACCATTTTTCGATCGTCACACAGCAAAATATTTTATGCTCAAAAATATTTTGACAATTTGGAAGTTTTTCCTTAACTTAGATTTCAAAGCATCAGATGCTATTGACATATTTATTACAGAATCGAAAGACTTACAAGAAAGTTAGACGTCTTTGGAAGGTAATGGTTCATTTATTTATTTCTTTTTTTTTTTAGTATTCTTTTTTTATGATAATCAAAACTGTCGCCAGACAAAAAAAACACCCACTTTTTTCCCTCCAGAATAACGTGAAATTGCACTTGGTCACATCAGAAATGGCTTGAATCTGCCATTCTTATAATTTAACATCTAGCTTTACTCATTCGTTGAATTGAAAACAGAATATTGTCGTTAAAAGAACTGCAATAGTGTGTTATTTTTTCTCTTTTATTTCAAAAAATATATATTGAAAAGAATTACTAGGATGAAAGGATGTTTTCTCTAATAATATAGTTTTACCGATAATATCTTCCAAATGAATCGTTTTAAAATAAACCCTTCACTTTTATTATTAACCAGCCATAAAAGATCTATTGTTTTGAAAATGTTATCGAATTTACCAATTTATGAAATTAGTTCCTGATATTTTATAAAAAATAAATATATTTCGGATATGTTTACATAAACATTTTTACTTAATTTTTGTTTTAATTTTATGTAATTGTGAATAAAATATTTTTTTCTCGCTTTAATATATTACTAATATCACATTGAATTATATAAAGCTTCAGTTTGTATTTAAAAATATAAGAAAATAAAAAAATAATGAGAATATTAGCCATCTTATCTTAATTTAACAATTAAAAATAATATTTTTCTTTGTGTAAGTTATGAAATTCTTCCATATTCCTCATTCTAAAAGACGTGATTTTGTTTTCACAAAGTTTAATCATTTGAAATATGAATAAAAATTATTTTATTTTACTTTACAAAAAGTACATAAGTTGTGAAATATTTTAACAGTAAATTATATATATATATAACAGTTTCTAGGAGTTATGAAAAACTTTAGATTTGCCATCCCTAAACTAATAAGAATCAATTAATTGTATACAAGAAGGTACTTTTTTTCAGAAATTTCTTGCTTTATTGAAAGCGTTACAATTGATTATAGTTAAATACAATGATTTTCATAATTGAATCCAGGGGAAAATTTTGAAAAGCATAAATTAGTCAACTAAAGAGGCGGTTTTTTGCATTGACCTACTTCTGTAATAATCTAACCCATTCTTTAGGAGATTATAACGGGAAGATAAGTTCATGACAAGAGGACAAGTGCCATCATATGCTGAGGTTAGAGGTTGCGTAAACCAATATCGGATTTATCCGGTCTACTAGTAAGCTTGGTGAGAAAGTAATTAATCCAACTTCCCATCTCTGATGACAGTCCAATAAGCCAGTTCTCTCTTCAGTTCGATAGCTTCAATCGAGTGACGTCTTCTACTGGTCAGACTTTCATTACTTTCTGGTGACAGCGAAAATCTCATTTTCCAAGGTCATCTTCATGTTTTTCCACAGCAGGTATGTCTGGACACCATAGATAGCTCGTAATATTGATAGTAAGAAGATATTATAAATATTTTCAATAACTTGCTCATACAATAGACCAGTGGCTCCTATATCTGTAATGATATTGGGTCTATCTGAATTTGATCTTTTTTCAATTTAATATGTTAATAAACTTTTAGAAAATATTTTGTATTAAGTAATATTTGAGAAATTTTTCATAAATTTTATTAAAGCTTTAAAAATGTTCTTTATTTATAGTCCTACAATTATCTTCAAGTTATGAAACATTCTTTCAACTATTTTTGCATTATGACAAGTTAATGAGTAGAATATATCATGTGTCTAACGTGTCATATTGAACATATAATTGACATTAGAGAAAGTTGTGATTAAATAAAAAAAATAACCTTTCATTAAAAATATTTCAACATTCTAAACAATTTTTAGAATCTCCTAAAAGAAAAATGAAATGAAAAAAAAATAATTAATTAATGTTCTTAAACTTTACAAAATCAATTTTAAAGCCACTTTTATCATTTTAATAAAAATAAGATTTATTTTTTTAAATATTTAGTAAGTTTATTTTTAATTATTTAAATTTACTTAAATATAAAATGAAATCCATTTTCCAAAAAATAATATTTCTAAAGTGACATTATTCAATCTAAACTCCTTATGATGAGTCTTAAGTGATCAACTGAATGCTATCGCTGTGTTTTGACTAAGTTTTCATTGGCTTAAAATGATGCTTCAGAGAACACCTGGAGGGATTTACGTCAGCCATGACGTCAAAGTTTCTCTTTTACGTCTTCGATATGGAGTAGAGTTAGTGATTTACATGTTAGTAAATGTCGTTTGATAGTAATCTGAGATAGAAATATGTCATCTATACAGCAATTAAATTTTGTATAATTTTTAAAAATATATAAAAATTCTCATTTATAAATATACAAATAAAATAAGAAAGCTTCCAGTTCAATTTAAACTATTCACAAATTTTCTAAGAAATCAATTTTAATAAGAAACAGAATGGAACAAATACTATATTCGAGGTATTAGACAGCTGGAGAAACACGTTCCAGTCTGACGTTTAATGGGCGCTTATATGTGGGAAACAAACCTTCTAATTAATATTCATTAAGTAATTTAAATAGTGAATAAACTTCATTATATAAACTAAGTAATATAAGCTTTTAGATCATAATAAACTGAGAAAAGCGTAGGATTAATAACTGAGTTGCTAATGGTTATATATAATGTTTATTTTTTGTAATTAAATTTAAATCATGAATTTTTAAAATATTTATATAAATGTTAAAATAAAAATTTTTTCGTTTATGTATTTATTTATTTTATTGATCTTCATATAAAATTATTACAATTTACAGATAAACATAATGTAAAATAAATTAATATTCTTATAAATAATAATATTTTTTTCATTGATTAGAATGATTATTATTAGAAATTTTTCTTATAAAATTCTAAAAATGCTACAGAACTATTTAATAAATTTATTATATTATATCTAAATATCCGGTCAAAATTTTAATAATTTAACTATTGA